AGCTGCACCCAGAAATGACCAGGAAGGTGGGAGGGCATCATGGATGGGAAGTAAGAGCTGTATGTATCCCTAGTGCTCACAGTTGGGGAGTGAAGTAGTTAATTACTGTGGATTTACAAAAGGAACGCCCATGACTCTGATCTGTGAGGAGGAGTAAGTGAAGCATGTTATGTGGATAAAAGTAGAACAGCATTTGGATAGCCAGCATTTGGATACAGCTTTTCAAAAGTTGTGATTTGCAGCATCAAGATCAAAAAGTAGTCAGATTTTTTTTTTAAGATATTAGATAGGCTAAGGGACTATTATGTGTTTATAAAATTATTATTTAAAATGATACAGGACTTTGGGAGTTCCCTGGTGGTCCAGTGGTTAGGACTTGGTGCTTGTATTGCTGCAGGCCCCAGTTCAATCCCTGGTTGAGAAACTAAGATCCTGCAAGCCATGCAGCACAGCCTAAATACATAAATAAGCAAAATTTAAAAATAATACTAAAAAATAAATAAAATGGTGCAGGATCTGTGGGAAACAGTATGGCGGTTCCTCGGAAAATTAAAAACAGATTTACCATGTGATCCAGCAATTCCACCTCTTGAGTATATACCCAAAAGAATTGAAAGCCAAGTCTGGAAGAGATACCTGTATACCCATGTTCACAGCAGCATTATTCACAGTAGCTAATATGTGGAAGGTACCCAGGTATCCATGGACAGGTGAATAGATAAGCAAAATGTGATATATGCATACAGTGGAGTATTTTCAACCTCAGAAAAAGGAAGAAATTCTGGCATAAGCTACACCATGGATGAACCTTGAGAACATGCTAAGTGAAATAAGCCAGTCACAAAAGGACCAATGCTTTGTGATTCCACTTTATGGGGTACCTACGCACAGTAGTCAGATTCATAGAGACATGGTGGTTGCCAGGGGCTGGAGGGAAAGGTTGAGATGAGAAGTCACTGTTAATTAACTGTTGAAATGAGAAGTCACTGTTGAAATGAGAAGTCACTCCCTGTTAAGACAGAGTTTTGATTTTGCAAGGTGAAAAGAGTTTTGGAAGTGGGTGATGGTGATGGTTACATAGCTGTATGAAGGTACTTAATTCCACTAAACTGTACACTTAAAAATGGCTAACATAGTAAATTTTATGTGTATTTTATCACCATAAAATAAGAATCAAAAGAAAAAAGAAAGTGATGTGACATAGCCTCATCCCCACAGTCTGATTCAGTGGATCTGGGGTCACCAGTGGCCCCACACACTGCTAGAATGGGACCACTGGTTTACCTGAGGGATTGCCTCAGAGGGAAACCTATTCCCTACACACATCAGAATCTCATTGTAATTTCCAAGTAGACTTTTGTTTGGTTTCATTCTTTTAGTTCAGTTGCTCAGTTGTGTCCAGCTCTTTGCGACCCCATGGACTGTAGCATGCTAGACTTACCTGTCCAATATCAACTCCCAGAGCTTGCTCAGACTCATGTCCATTGAGATGGTGATGCCATCCAACTATCTCATCTTCTGTCGTCCCCTTCTCCTCCTGCCTTCAATCTTTTCCCAGCATCAGGATCTTTTCCAATGAGTCAGTTCTTTCTATCAGGTGGCCAAAGTATTGAGTTTCAGCTTCAGCATCAGTCCTTCCAATGTATATTTAGGACTGATTTCCTTCAGGATTGACTGGTTTGATATCCTTGCAGTCCAGGGGACTTTCAAGAGTCTTCTCCAACACCACATCAATTCTTCGACACTCAGCTTTCTTTGTATTCCAACTTTCACATCCATACATTAATACTGGAAAAACCATAGCTTTAACTAGACGGACCTTTGTTGGCAAAGTAATGTCTCTGCTTTTTAATGTGCTGTCTAGGTTGGTCATAGCTTTTCTTCCAAGGAGCAAGAGTCAAATTTCATGGCTGCAGTCACCATCTGCAGTGATTTTTGGAGCCCAAGAAAAGAAACTATGTCACTGTTTCCATTGTTTCCCATCTATTTGCCATGAAGTGATGGAACCAGATGCTGTGATCTTAGTTTTTTGAATGTTGAGTTTTAAGCCAGCTTTTTCAACTCTCTTTCACTTTTATCAAGAGGCTCTTTAGTTCTTCTTTGGTTTCTGCCATAAGGGTGGTATCATCTATGTATTTGAGGTTATTGATATTTCTCCCGGCAGTCTTGATTCCAGCTTGTGCTTCATCCAGCCTGGCATTTTGCAAGATGTACTCTGCACATAAGTTAAATAAGCAAGGTTACAACATACAGCCTTGACATACTCCTTTCCCAATCTGGAACCAGTCCGATGTTCCATCTCCAGTTGTAACTGTTGCTTCTTGACCTGCATACAGATTTCTTAGGAGGCAGGTAAGGTGGTCTGGTATTCCCTCCCATCTCTTGAAGAATGTTCCACAGTTTGTTGTGGTCCACACAGTCAAAGGCTTTGGTGTAGTCAAAGCAGAAGTAGATGTTTTTCTGGAACTCTTTTGCTTTTTCGATGATCCAACGGATGTTGTCAATTTGATCTTTGGTTCCTCTGCCTTTTCTAAATCTAGCTTGAACATCTGGAAGTTCATAGTTCACGTATTGCTGAGCCTCGCTTGGAGAATTTTGAGCATTGCTTTGCTACTGTGTGAGATGAGTGGAACTGTGCAATAGTGAGAGCATTCTTTGGCTTTGCCTTTCTTGGGGATTGGAATGAAAACTGACCTTTTCCAGTCCTGTGGCCACTGCCAAGTTGTCCAAGTTTGCTGGCATATTGAGTGGAGCACTTTAGCAGCAGCATCTTTTAAGATTTGAAATAGCTCAACTAGAATTCCATCACCTCTGCTTTGTTTGTAGTGATGCTTCCTAAGGCCCACTTGACTTTTCATTCCTGGATGTCTGGCTGTAGGTGAGTGATCACACCATTGTAGTTATCTGGATCATTAAGATCTCTTTTGTATAGTTCTTCTGTGTATTCTTGCCACCTCTTCTTAATATCTTCTGCTTCTGTTAGGTCCATACCGTTTCTGTCCTTTATTGTACCCATTTTTGCATGAAATGTTCCCTTGGTATATCTACTTTTCTTGAAGAGCTCTCTAGTCTTTCCCATTCTATTATTTTCCTCTATTTCTTTACATTGATCACTGAGGAAGACTTTCTTATCTCTCCTTGCTATTCTTTGGAACTCTGCATTCAGATGGATATATCTTTCCTTTTCTCCTTTGCCTTTCACTTCTCTTGTTTTCTCAGCTATTTGTAAGGCTTCCTCAGACAACCATTTTGCCTTTTTGCATTTCTTTTTCTTGGGGATGATCTTGACCACTGCATCCTGTACAGTGTCATGAACCTCCGTCTATAGTTCTTCAGGCACTCTGTCTATCAGGTCTAATCCCTTGAACCTATTTGCCCCTTCCACTGTATAATCGTAAGGGTTTTGATTTAGGTCATACCCGAATGATCTAGTGGGTTTCCCTGCTTTCTTCAATTTAAGTCTGAATTTGGCAATAAGGAGTTCATGATCTGAGCCACAGTCAGCTCCCCGTCTTGTTTTTGCTGACTGTATAGAGTTTCTCCATCTTCTGCTACAAAAAATATTATCAGTCTGATTTTGGTATTGACTGTGTGGTGATATCCATGGCCTTCTACTCATGATTACTTGGATTACTATGATATTGAATGATTTGCCTTGGAAAAAAACAGATCATTCTGTCATTTTTGAGATTGCACCCAAGTGCTGCATTGCGTCCACATAATGCAGTACTTCATTTTTTCATTTTATAACACTTATAATCAGAAGGGAAAATGCTACAAAATTAAGACACATTCATTGTTGAAAATATGGCAAAGTTCATAAAACAAAAGTCATTCACAGTTCTATCAATTTATAACCATTATTAAATTAGGTCCTTCAGTTACATTCTCTCTGTGGAGTATGGAGTATCTATTGATGTAGATATCCTTGTATAGTCTCATACATATTTACTTTTTTTGTGCTTTTTTTGGTTTATTTTAAAGAATATTGATGTCGTGCGTCACGTATTGTTTTCCCCCTTTCACGGAATGCATGGTGATGTCTTTCAGGTCGTTGAGGGCCTTCTACTCATGGTTTTCAGTGGCTCCATAGTGTTGTTGATCTGACCCACTACTGTGATTGAGTATGTATCTCATTTTCCAGTTTTTCATTATCATGGTCAACGTTGGCTGGACATTTTTATATAAAAATATCCTTGTAAATATCCTTGTTGTTAGCACTGCTGCTGCTGCCTGTTTGGTAGTTTTTTGTTGGTATTTTGGTTTCTAGTATTTTCCTATATTTGCTACCATAAACTTTAAAATTATAATGTGTATAGCACCTGGGCTCCCCGGGTAGCTCAAATGGTAAACAATCTGCCTGCAATGCAGGAGACCTGGGTTGGAAAGATCCCCTGGAGAAGGGCATGGCAACCCACTACAGTATTCTTGCCTGGAGAATTCCATGGACAGAGGATCCTGGCAGGCTGTAGTACATGGGGTCGCAAAGAGTCAGACACGACTGGGAGACTAACACTTTGACTTTCATAGCACCTAGGTAGTTCTCTTTTGTCTTTTAACTATAATATAATAACACTCTTCTTTTTCTTTCTGTAATATAGTATTAGAGAACCATGAACTTGTACAGTTAAGGCCCGAAGGTTAAATGGTTTGACCAGAATCACACAGAAAATTAAGTATAGCAGGACAGGAATTTGAACACAGCTGTACTCATTTTTTATATCTCCTCCTAGTAGACAGATACTGCTAATATCCTTAGTCTCCACGGGAGAAGTTTCTGCAGCGTTCCCCTATGGAGCAGTGTGTCTCTTGTCCTGCGTGGCAGAGAACTTGCTGCTTCCAAATCAGCCCGGGAAATTGCCTCTGCTGAGCGCGCCCTCCCCTAATCGCCAGTGTCCTGCTTGCTGTTCCAGGAGCCATGTATGACCGAGACTGCGAGACAGTCGTGCTCATGCCAGAGCCTCTGGTGAGGCGATGAGTTGGTGAACCAAGAAGGCAGCATGAAGATGCTTCCCGGCGTGGGTGTGTTTGGGACCGGCAGCTCCGCCCGGGTTCTGGTCCCACTGCTGCGGGCAGAGGGGTTCACGGTGCAGGCCCTGTGGGGGAAGACTGAGGAGGAGGCCAAGCAGCTCGCTGAGGAGATGAACATCGCCTTCTACACCAGCCGGACGGATGACGTCTTGCTGCATCAAGATGTGGATCTGGTGTGCATCAATATGCCCCCTCCGCTCACCCGGCAGATATCTGTGAAGGCTCTAGGTATGGGCAGATGGCGCCTCCCTCTCGGGGGTCCTTGAGCATCCTTGCTCTCCTCTGGGCCTGGGTAGGCCCTCTTGGGCTTGGGTCTAGGACACCTCTCATCCCTGAAGCAATGCTGAGGAGGGCACATTGGGAGGCCTTATAGCTGCAAGAGGAAATGCCCCAATGTCTGGGAAAGACACAGCCTTCCCCACCTCCTGTAGGTAAATCCCCAAGCAAAAATTAAGCAGATGCCTTCAGAGCTGGCCTATCACAGGGGCAGGAGATGATTACATTCAGGCATTATAAAGTTCGCTTCTGTGAAATCGGAATCCAAAGACCTGGGCCTGGGGGAATTGGCTGTGATTGATGCGTTTGTACTTCATTTCCGTGGCATACAGCATCACAGAAAGAAGAGGGTGTGTATAAAGGCTGCCATTTCCCGTATTTTGTCAGTCCTTGACTAGACTGAACATACACCCTTCCTGTCATGCTTTGCAGTTGTGTATGCCAGAGGCAGGAAGGCTGTCCGAATGCTCTGTGTTTCCCCAGCGGGACCCACAGGTTGTTCTGCTCGCATCCCTGCTCCCTCGGGAAGCAGTGGGCCTGGCCATCTCCTGCCCCGGCTGGGTGTGGTTTGGTGAACTGTTCTCCTGCAATTCCTGTTGGGCTGCTCTTTCCTGTTGGCAGTAGGAAAAATTCTCCTTTGTCTTACATGAATAAGAACCTAATTAAAAAAAAAGAGAGAACCTAATTTAATAGGGAAACAAAGCAGTCAACATTCATCCAGCAATTTTTTAAAAAAAAAAATCTCCTGTGTGCTCTTCACTGGCCCAGTATCATTCTTGACATTCAGAACAGTGTTGGGATAGAGCTGTCTCTGCTTTCAGATTTCACATTCTGATCTGGAAGTAACACAGAGACTGGAAGTAACACACATGGCCAGGTAAATGAGAAAAGACTTAAGTAACAATTCGGGTAGCATATAATTAATTGACAGAGTAATTGTTGTATATAAGGGGACAGGAGCCAGGTGTCCATCTCTGACCCAGAGATCTCTGGGTCCAGGAACCGCTATGCCGTGAGGCTGACCACCACTCCTCCTGGCCGCCACCGTGGTGCAGGATCCAAGACTGCTTGTCTTTCCTGTCGTCTGAAGATAAGAGAGTGTCTGTCACCTCTAACCCAATGTGCTGTAAAGGATAAATGCTCATTGAAGTGAGTAGAACAAGCGTCTCTCTGGTTGTTGATTTGGGGCATGTAAGTTTTGACCAAAAATTATAGATGGTTTGTCTTTTCCAGAGGGCTCTCTTTGAGGGTGTTGTGACTTTGGAGCTATTCACTGGCCCTAGATTTTTAGAGCAGATCATGCTCCCAGATTGAGTTTAGAAGTAGACAAAAGTCAGCACTTTAACAGAGGGCTGGTTCAAGGGGATCAGGCTACCATGGTCTCTTGACTTCTCACCTTTCCTTGTGGCATGAGTGCAGGTTGGTGAGGGTGTGTGCGTAGGCAGAGTTCTAGAGGCTCTCAGCCAGCTTCTTGAACTTTCGGGTTCCCACAGAGGCCATTTCCTAGCTGTGTAAGGAGAGAGGAGACCCAGAGTTCTTTGGGCACAAGCCTCCCGGGTGTTTTGCTCGTACCGGAAAACACTGGACTTCGGGCCATTTAATATAAACAAGAAGGACAGCTTCTGGGATCTTGTGTCCCAGCCCTCAGTGAAGTGAAACCATCAGCCCTGTCTCCACACCTCTGTTGTCAGGAGGGAGGAAGGTATGAATGCCGGTCCTTGGTCTCTTCTTGCAGGTACATGATCCCAGGGCCAAGTTGGTTGGGCTAAGAGAGCCGTGTCGACTGAATCTGCCACGAGGCACTGCCCACTTAGGCCCCAAAGGAGTCACCGAGCCTGTTGCAACCATGAGGTTAACTCCCTGTGTGCTTGCTTTCTTTCTTTGTGAGAATTCTGACTTAACTTTAGCTCATATGGAAGAGGCCATGAGAACTGCTCTAGTTTTCCCAAATGACTGGATATGAGTGCATAAACTGCTGTAGGCAGAGCATCAAACTGACCGTGACATCAGACCCCACTTCTGGTCCTATTTCTGTCCCTGTCAACCTCTGGAGGCCCCTGTGAAATGAAGGTATTATTCAGTCTTTCCAGCGTGATATGACTGCCTCCGTTACTGACCAAGAAAGACACTGGCATCACGTTACAGGGGAAAGCCTGGCTTTCCTGTTGTCCCAAGTGGAAGAACAGATTTGTTTAAGTTAAATTCATATCAAAAATAAATAGTAGGAGTCTCCTCTGGATGTTCACTAGGTAAATGTTCAGATATTCACTGAGTTGAATGTAGCTCAGAAATGAAACTAAGCATTCTGAGTCATCTCAAATGTGAAAAACTTTTCTGTGGGTTGGGGGACTTTATTTAAGTTAATTCCTCCAAAGCAGGACGTGTTCTTTCTTCCTGTAATGTAAAGCTCTGGCAGTAGCTGATTCTCATACACCGTTTAGATGAAGAACAGAATAGACACATTGATAGTTATAAAAATGCAGTGTATTTAAAAGGGCTCAGAGTCAGCATTCCAGAACACCCCCACTGCTGTTCCACCTGTGTATTCCCGTGTATGAGTCCCTCTATATATATGCCTGAGAGGATATTTTTCTGTTTTTCCCACTTTCATATCTCTGTTTTCTTTTTTGTTTTTTTTTTACCCTTTCTGTTATGGGTGCTGTGTCTCTTATGTTTCATTAAGGATATAAGCTTCAGGGACTTTGCTGACAGTCCAGTGGTTAGGACTCCACACTTCCACTGCAGGGAGCATGAGTTCGGTCCCTGGTCTGGGGAACTAAGGTCCCCGCATGCCCTATTAATTAATTAATTAATTAAAGGATATAAGCTTTAGATCCTCAATCTTTTTAGAACCAGGGGAAAAAAAAAGACATGTTTACTTAACAGGATAGCTGTTGAAGTACTCTAATTTTAGATAAGCTCTTCCAGATTTTGAACCCATGAGAAGTTAAATCGTAATTGTCTCAAGTCTCTATTGAGTGAAGGATCCTTCTTGCGTTGCCCAGCATTGTGAAAGGTTAAGTCAGGGAGACGAGAAGCAGTTAAGTGAGGCATGCAGCACCTGTCCACATTTGCAGCTATAAAGCAAATCTATGACTTAGACTGTTCTTCTTCTAAAACTTTTGATCCCAGTCAGAGTACTGTATTTTCTTCTTTTGAAATTCACAGACATAAAGTCAGAAGTGTTGGACCTGCAGTAGCAATAAAGAGAGTATCTAGTCCTGCCTTTCTCAGAGATGCTGGGCCAGAAGCAGCAGCATCACCTGGGAAATTGTTATAAATCCCAATTCTGGGCCTCTTCCCAGATCTTCTGAATCTCAGTGGGTGAGGCCTGCCAATTTTGGAACAAGCATTCTGGGTGATTCTGATCCACACTAAGGATTGAGAACCACTGGTCTCATCCACCATCTTCATTTCCAGTTACAGAAACCCAGGCCCAGAAATGTTTAAGGTCACAGCATCTCACTAAGCCTTAGTGCTGTAGGCAAAATCGCATTTTCCTCAGTTTCTCAGATCATTGTATTCTTATGTCGTTTCTGAGGCCATAAAGATTGTTTCCTCCCTCATTCTTATTAGTGTTTTTCTAATAAGTTTATAAGTTTTTTCTAAAACTAATCCTTGGACTTATCCTGTAGAGATATACTTTTCACCTCACAGCTCTTTTCTATAGCATCTTGCATGCATGCTTGCTAAGTGGCTTCAGTCATGTCCAACTCTTTGCCCCCCCAGTGGACAGTAGCCCACCAGGCTCCTCTGTCCATGGGATTCTCCAGGCAGGCATACTGGAGTGCTTTGCCATGCCCTCCTCCAAAGGGTCTTCTCCCACCCAGGGATCGAACCCGTGTCTCTCATGTCTCCTGCATTGGCAGGCGGGTTCTTTACTACTAGTGTCACCTGGGAAGCCCCTGTGGCATCTTACTTTCTACCTTTATTTGACTTTTCATTTTCTTCCACCTCAGATTTCATCCTTGTGGCTTTCCCGTGAATTCCTTAGAGGAGAAGGAGGGACTCTATGTTTCCTTTCTCAATTTAGAAGTGGTTCCAAAAAATTTTAATGTACAAAGTGCCCCAACATTTTTGCTACAGTTGAATGTTTTCCTAAGTCCATCGCTAGAAGGTACTTTTCTGTGCCCACTTCTTAGCACTTGTGTACTTCATTAGAAAAACACTGGGTTTGCCAGTCCTTTCCCCATGGGCTATTGAGATAACAAGGGATCATTCCTCAAGCAGCCTGACCCAGATAATTTACTTCCAAAAACACCAGTCCCTTGGGGTACCTTCTCTGGCCCCCAGTCCAGATCATGTCCTTGCTGTGGACTCTATGTTAGCATTTATATAATCTTCATTGGATTGATCACAAGGGCAGTTCTGCATATATTCACGTGATAATTTGATTCATGGTGCTCTCTGCCACTAAAGTGTAGGTTGTCTGAAGGCAGCCATCATGCCTGATGTATCCCAGGGCTTGGCACAGGGCCTGGCACGCTGGTTGACTGATAGTGTCACATATTCTGGCTGTGCAAGCCCAGTCTGCTGGTTGTGACCCAGGGAGCTGACAGGGCCTGTGACCCAAGAGAGAGTGGGCTGTGGATAGCAGTGATTCTGTCTGGTGGCTTTCAAACTTATTTTTCTAAGTAGCAGAACCTTTTTTGTTTTGTTTGTTTGTTTTTAAAGGCAGAATCCATGGATTTTGTAAAACATGAAAGTGGTGCTTTTTCTGGGGCTGCTCCTCTCCCCTGCTGTTTGAAATCACGTATCTAGTCCACACCTCTTCAGAGAGGGGTAGTGGTGTTGTCCCAGAGCTGTGGTGCATTACTGAGAAACAAAAACGTGGTCTGGGACAGTTTCTCGGGGGTGCTTCACTCCTGGGTCGTCTGGGGAGTGTGAGCCGGCAGAGGCTTGTTCAACCTCCAGATTTCGTCTGAGCTAATGGCACTCAGCATCCATGCTTCCCCATTCCGTGGAGACAAAAAGTGATTTTCAGCTTCTCTAACCTCTCTTTCAACTTTCTAACAGGAAAGCTAGATAAACTTAAGTAAACATGTCTCTGGAGGCACCCCGAGTATCTTCCTTCCTCAAGGTACACGCCCTGTGACCGGCAGGGGCCTGTTTCACTCAAGATGGCCTTTAGCCCCCACACTGATTGCACTGCTGGGTCCCAAGTTCAGAAGCTTTCCTGTCGTTCAGCCTCAGGAAGATCTCTGCTCCTTCCCTGACTGCTCGTGGCATGAAATGAGAGATGCCTTTAGATTCTGGTTTTATCACCACCAGACTCTCAGCAGCCGCGTGAGTCCTTTTCCTCCCATCCTGCCCCCTTTCCTCCCCAGCATCCACCCCCCCACCTCCCGCTGTGCACAGTCAAAGCAGGAAGCCTCTGGGTTGGCCAGAGAGGCAGCTCTCACAGGGGGGATCTGAGAACCTAATTTCTCATTACTTCCCTCGTCAGTCACGTGTTCAGTAGCCGAGTGACCAGGTTCTCCCCGAGTATTGTGATTCTCCTGTCCCTAATCCTAAAACCCCTCAAGTGTGGGGGAGGATCGGAGACCCTCCAGGAGCAGACAGTGATAGCAGTCGGGGGCGACTCTCTCCGCAGGGCCCCCCTCCAGCTCCAGACCCCGGTACAAGGGCCTGTCCCCTTGCCCAGGCCGCCTGCCCTGTGCACACGGCTCTCTGCCTTGGGCATGTGACACTTGGCTAGCCGTTCTCCTGGTGGTCCTGCCAGTACCTGTTGTAAATATTATTTGGAGAAGAACAAGAGATTTCAAGAGCTTTGTAAAGTGAGGCGATTGAATTATGTCACAGGCGCCTGATCTACATGTGCTCCTCCTTGCCACAGCACTGAGGTTCACAGCACTGGGAGTTCACACCCGAGAATTCCGTCTGCATAGACGGCAAAGGCCATGTGGGATTCTCAAGGGTCAGGGTGGTGGGGAGAGGGCAGGAAGTGAGGGGAGCTTGGAAGGACTGGCCAAAGGCACCAGATTATCCACTGTGGGCTTTGTCAGGATGTGAGCTTCTGAAGGGCTGGGCTAGACTTAGCTTTCTGAGAGGCCTGATACACAGTACATTGAATAAGAAAACTTGTCTGTGTTCATGTTGATGTTTAAATACCTTTTTAAAAATTAAAATTTTTAAATATTAAACATCAGTATTATTGGCCTAGAAAATGTAGCTTCTGTGTGAGTCATAAAATCTAGGTCACAGTGGGCCCTTTTGTCCTGTATTTATGACATCTGCTGAGTCTCCCATGGTGATGGTTATAAACTGTACCAATGACAGAGCTGGGCTGGGCATTTACATATACCGCCTCATTTGACTTACCCTTCTCTTCTACCCTGCATGGTAAATGTGACTCTCCTACAGCATAGTAAACCAGAACCCAGAGAGGTTTAGAAATGTCCCAGGTCATGCAGCAATCAAGTGAGAGAACCAGACTTTGAATCCCAGTGTCTGGGTCCAGAGCCTGAGTTCAGGACCAATGAATGCCCTTTCTGGGCAGTCAGCTGTCCTGGGTCCCCATTGTTTCTACTGCAAGGTGACCAGCTAAGTTCCCCCCGAGCCTGTGTGAATGGAATCCAGATCCATCAGAAGCTACACCGTGCAGTGGGCCACCAGAAATTATCTGTGTCCCAGCCCTTCCCCCTCTGAAAACACTGAGAAAACTTTGGGGACCAAGGGAATGACACCAGAGTTACTGGAGATACTCATACCCGGAGAAAGCATAATCTTGACCTGGCTGCCCCGAGATACAGGTGTCCAGGCTCGCAGACTGCTCTGCCAACTGGGAAGTGCCTGTGCAGTGGGAGAGTAGAGCCTGGATGGCACTGGAGGAAAAGCCTGAATGTGAACGTTGTTCAGGAGAGTAAACATCAAGAGATATTCCAGCCCAAGACCCTGTGTCCTGAGCACAGCGACTAGGCCTGGCCCTGCCTGCCCATCATCTCTGCTTAGCAGTCAGTACCTCTCCCCAGCCACCAGGTCTTCATGTAAGAAGCAGCCCTCTTCTCACATCAGTGGCTGGAGCAGAATGAACAGGAGAGGGGCCATGGGAAGCAAAGGGATCAAAAAGAAAACTTTAGAGGGGCATACAAAGCATCTATGTATGACCTTGTGGGTAGGCAACTATAAGGACTCTGGTTCATTCTGAATGAGGTGAGAAGCCAGCAGAGGGTTTGATGCAGCACAGAGATATGATCTGATCCATCTTAAATTTTAACAGTTACCCTGGCTTCTGTGTTAAGAAAAGACTCAGGGAAACCAGTTATGTTGCCATGGCAATAATCCAGGTGAAAAAGAGTGGTGACTTGGATGAGGCAGGTGGCAGTACTGGTAGTGAGAACTGGTGAGATCCTGGATGTAGTTTGAAAGCCAATCCAGCAAGATTTATTGATGATTGAAAGTGGGATGTGAGAGTGATTTCAGTGATTTTGGCTTGAAAAACTGGGAGAGTGGCGTCACCGTTGTCTGAGATGGAGAAACTCAGGGACAGGATTCCATCCCCACTCCTACCCCTGACCTTGACTGTCTTTGTGAGTGATGCTACCAGCTCTCTATTCCATTTCCTCCATTGCGTACAGACCCCATGTAACCCCTCCAGCCGGTTTCCTGGGACACACTCAGGGTGTAGGAATCCCGGCCCCTGGGAGCCGTGCAGTTCCCTGCCCGGATGTCCTTCCCCCTTAGGGTAACACCTCCCTGGAACATCTGCGTCCTTAAGGATAACCCCTTCCCTTATCCTGCCATTTGTACCAGACCCTTGAGCTTGTTCCCTCAAGAACCCCATGACTTCTTGGAGGAACTGAGGAGGCAGAGTTTGAGTTGTGTCTGTGGAATGAATAATGGAATAACTGGATGTCTTCACCCTTCCCCAGCTTGCTGTACCCAAAAACTATGTGTGTGTCTAGTCCATACCACTTCCTAGGCTTTTAAACTTTTCTATTGAAGATACGAGCATAAGACTTTCTTCTACTTGAACCACACCAAGTTGACAGAAATGCTCCAAGAATCAGTGTCTTGTGGCCATTCGTACCCTCCTGAGCTTTCATCTTGTGATGTGGAAGAGTGTTCATCCTTTCCATCTCCTCGTGTGGGAGCTGCCCGAGTCCTCTTGCTCTCTCTCTCAGGGCTTTGTCTAGCTTTGTTTTGCTCCCTGGGTGCCTTCCAGCTGTGGTGCACTTAGAACAGGCTTGAGACAGAAAGGATATTTTCTCTCCCTTTCCCCTCTGACTATAGCCAAGCATTTTCTGGCCTTTTGACTGCACTAACATGTTGGACCAGTGTTTTTTGAGGACAGTCTGCAGGGACTCTTCAGAGTCCTTTCTGCAGTTACAGCTGAGAGTGCCAAGCCCATCTCCTAGAATATATATTTTATTTTCTTACCCCAACCTGATGATCTAATAAATGCATGAACATAAGATAAGCACATCCACCTCTCCAGCCCACTTCTATTAGGCAGTGTTTTCCAGAGAAACAGAACCAATAGGATGTATATTGAGAGAGAGGGTAGAGATTTATTTTAAAGAATTGGCTTATCTGGTTGTAGGAGCTGGTAGATCTGAAATCCCGAGAGCAAATCTGAATTCTAGCAAGAGTTGATGCTGCAGACTTGAATCCAAAGGCAATATGGAGGTGGAATTTCTTCTTCTATGGGGAACATCAGTCGTTTGTTCCTCCCCGACCCCAAGGCCTTCATCTGATGAGTTGAGGCCCACCCACATTATAGAGGGTAATCTGCTCTATTCAAAGTCTACTGCTTTAAATGTTAATTAGCTCTAAAGGGATCTTCTCAGCAATGTCTAGGCTAGTATTTGATGGGCACCATAACCTAACCAAGTTGACACATAATTTTAACCATGGTACCACCTCTCTGTACCTCCCACTCAGGGTTTGTGCCTTCTGCCTCTACTCCTTTCATTTCCCTTTAAGAACTTCTCTTTCTCGAACCCATAACTCTTTTTCTAGACTCAGTCCCTTGGTACCATTTTCTTCCAGGCCAATCACCTTCCTCTTGTCCTAGGCCACCGCCTAGCTTCAGAGCCTGAGTCATCTGCCTTCCAGAAATGGGTTTTCTTTTCCCAGTGTGAACCCCCTGGATCTTTGAGATTTCCTGTTGTTTTCTTCTCAGGTATTGGGAAGAATGTGGTTTGTGAGAAGGCGGCAACCTCAGTGGATGCTTTCCGGATGGTGACGGCCTCGCGCTACTACCCTCAGCTGATGAGCCTCGTGGGGAACGTGTTGCGCTTCCTGCCCGCCTTTGTGCGCATGAAGCAGCTGATCGCCGAGCACTACGTGGGCGCAGTGATGATATGTGACGCACGTGTCTACTCGGGGAGCCTGCTCAGCCCCAACTATGGCTGGATCTGCGATGAACTCATGGGCGGCGGGGGCCTGCACACCATGGGCACCTACATTGTGGACCTGCTGACCCACCTTACCGGCCAGAGAGCTGAGAAGGTCCATGGGCTGCTCAAGACCTTTGTGAGGCAGAATGCGGCCATCCGCGGCATCCGGCACGTCACCAGCGATGACTTCTGTTTCTTCCAGATGCTCATGGGCGGGGGTGTGTGCAGCACAGTAACTCTAAACTTCAACATGCCAGGCGCCTTTGTGCACGAGGTCATGGTGGTGGGCTCCGCGGGACGCCTGGTCGCCCGGGGCGCGGACCTCTACGGGCAGAAGAACTCTGCCCCGCACGAGGAGCTGCTGCTGAGGGACTCGCTGCCCGTGGGTGCGGGGCTGCCCGAGCAGGGCGCCCAGGACGTCCCGCTGCTCTACCTGAAGGGCATGGTCTACATGGTGCAGGCTCTGCGCCAGTCCTTCCAGGGGCAGGGGGACCGCCGCACGTGGGACCACACCCCTGTCTCCATGGCCGCCTCGTTCGAGGACGGGCTCTACATGCAGAGTGTGGTGGATGCCATCAAACGGTCGAGCCGATCTGGGGAGTGGGAGGCGGTAGAGGTGCTGGCAGAGGAGCCCGACGCCAACCAGAACCTGTGCGAGGCGCTCCAGCGGAACAACCTGTGAGCCTGCGCGTGGGCTCCCTGCCGCGGGGCAGAGGGCAGGGCAGAACCAGGAGCTGTGACGGGAGGGCTTCGCGGTAGCACAGACAGTATCTTCCATTCGATAGATCCGCTTGTGCAGAGTTGAATTCCAGTGAATTCGAAGGTGGCCCCGGGGAACCCCCCACCCCAGTGCCCACTCTGCGGGCTGCTGAGGGGGTGGCATTCTGTTGCCAGGGATGAGAGACCAGCACACCGCGCAAGGCAGAAGTGCCCCGGGTCTGTGAGCAGGGCCGGCAGAAGCTTGACTGGGGGGCTTCTGCAGCCTGTCTGTGGTTTTAGCCCGATGAGAAAGCACAGTAAGGAGCCAGCCTGGCTGATGCCTCAGGCCTGAGGAGAAGTGATGTGAAGCCTTGTTGCCATGCCCTTCCTGGGCTGGGGCACCTCAGGAATGGTGAGGGCGGCAGGTCATCCCTCGGGGATCCACACCTGCCCTCTCTCCACATGACCAGGCCCTTCCGGCCTTCTGGCCTCCAGGCTACCCCTTCCCTGGCTGGGAGGGGGTTTCTTTAGCAGGTGAGCTTTCAGGGGCAGAGGGCCCCTGCTTTGGCAGAGAGGAGCCAAGGGGGAGAGCTCTGGGACAGATGAGAAATGTTAATAAATCAGAAGATCTGACATTATGGCATGTGGTGGTTGTCTGTTTGGTAGGTTGGGTTTCTTTAATAATGAAAGGCTTGTTGTTGCTGTAGATGGTTTGTATTTTTCTTTCCTCATGGCTCTGTGGCAGCTCCGACCCACTGGATCCGTCACTGTCTAGCGGGCCACCCAGGTTCCTACCACTGCCTGCCCTCCCCTTCTGGCCTATTCCCTGTGGCTGAATCCCTGCAAGAAGTCCTTCCTCAGTGCCCAAGTTTTTCCACAGGACTCAAGGCTGCAGGACTGCAGGGGGCCAATTGGGCCTGATGTTTAAGAGACAGTGGGAGAGTCTGAGGTCTCCCTGGGCTGGACGTCAGGAGGAGTCTGTTCTTGAAACCAAGGGGTTGGCTCCAGGGGAGCCCTGGGAGAGGAGAGGTGGGGTGGGGGCCAGGGAGGCTGGACGGCATGAACTTGATGAAGGCGCTGCCCTCTGGCCTAGCCACCCTGTCTCCAGCTCTGCATTTATGATCCTGTTCTCGTCACAGGAAGAGCCTCCTAAGCATGTCAGTCATGGTGGAAAGAATACCTCTACTCCTTTGTTTCCCCTGCCAGGATTAAACCTGGACCAGGCTCCCCTTTTCTAATCTTTCCTCCCTCTGCCCTGCTCTGGACTCCTCGCCATAAAGAGAAAGGCTCAGACAGGGCGCTCCCTCTTCCTCCTGCCCTTAGAGGAGTCACCAGGCCTGTTTTCCCATTATTGTCCTGGTTTCAGACCTTGTGAGATAAAATAACAGTTACTAGTGTTGGGGTGTACTTACGGTGTGCTGGGCCCCCCGGAGAGACACTTCACATGTATTATTTCATTTAATATCCAAACCACTCAACGAGGTACTACTATTAATATTCCCATTATCCAGAGCAGAGAGGGACAGAGGTACATGAACTGGTCAGGGTCCTCTGACTACAGAGCCTGACTCTGAAGTACTGTGGCTCCTCAGACTCTATTGTCAGGCACTGTCCCTCCCTGCTTAGGACCCATCCAGTTTACCACCTCTCTACAACAGGAATCTCAGCCTGGCCTGAACTAGGACTATAGAGAGAACCCCACCAGGCAGGATGCTGGGAGAAATGAAGGAGAAGCTGCCCCCTTCCTCCCAGCTCAGCTCCAGGTCATCCTTTTCTGTGTTAATGGGATGTTGAGATTCCTCCTCTAAGTTTGAGAATTGACCAAGAAAGCACATTCATCCATTGCATCTGACTGAGATGCCCTTATTAAGAAAGGGCCATGCTATTGACCCACAGTGGCACTTAAGTTTTATAGGACTGCAGCAAAACCTCTTGTTTACAGAGGATTGTTTCAAGAAGTCCTGGTGCAGACTGAACATGGACTTAGGGCAGAGTTACTTTTATGAGGTCCCAAGTCCTCTGTTGGTACTCCCCAGAGCCTGGGTCCATGGCCATCCCTCAGACAGCTCTACCATCATGTATCTCTTGGCTTGGTCCCGGGGAGGAGATGTACCTTGAAGTGGCCTAGACGCCTGTGGCCAATGAAGCCAGCAGGGTTCTGGTTCCCAGAGGTGACGGGAGTCCCTAGCTGGTTCCAGACTTGTCCTACAGCGCCCCCTCCTGGAGGAGGCTAGCATCACTATTGCTCAGATTGTTCCCCAGAGTCAAAGCAGTCAGTGAAAATGCAGCTCGCTTTTCCTCTCTGTTACAGCAAGAAGAAGAGAACTTCCAGAATACCTCTTTTTTCCAACCTCCAACCAAATCCAGGGCTCACATTCACGCAGACAGTGGCAACAGTCTCCTCACCTCTCTATCCCTAGGCTTTCCCTTCCTTATTCTGCCCTTCATGCTGCTGCCCAGGCAACCTCTCCAGAATAGCAGCCCAGGATCCCTTGTTGCCTGCATCCCTCCTTATCCCTCCCAGACTCACCCAGCCTGGTCGGATGGCCATGCATCGGCTTCAGCGAACTCTCCTCCAGGTGGCTGTCTTCCACACTAGTGAGGCTTCATCCCTAGCAAGCCTTCTTCCTGGAAGGCCACCCCGCCCTCTCCTTCAGGAGTCTGGTGGAGAGCTGCCTCTTCACTCCTCCAGGCAAAGTGGCAGTCACCCCACCACCTGTGGCCGGTTCCCTGGGAGACAGGGAGCAAGGCCAGGCCACGCGCCCGTTTCCTATGACCTGACAGCCCTTTTCCTTTCTCTTCCCCAGGCTCCTCCTTACCACCGTTCATCCCAGGTGTTACCTTGTCTGATCTCCAGGTTCATCTGAGGAAACTAAAAATTCTCAGACTAGGCCCCACCCTTACAGATTCTGATTCAGTTAGGTCTGGGGTACTGTGCTGTGCTTAGTCGCTCAGTCGGGTCCAACTCTTTGCAACCCCATGGACTGCAGCCCACCAGGCTGGGGTTCTCCAGGCAAGAATACTGGAATGGGTTGCCATGCCGTCCTCCAGGGATCAAACCCAGGTCTCCTGTATTACAGGCAGATTCTTTACCAATTGAACCACCAGGGAAACCCGAGAACACTGGAGTAGATAGCCTATCCCTTCACCAGGGGATCTTCCCGACCCAGGGATTGAACCGGGGTCTCCTGCATTGCGGGCGGATTCTTTACCAGCTGAGCCACCAGGGAAGTCTAGGTCTGAGGTAGTGCCCAGGAATCTATACTTCTGCAAATTCCCAGGCGATCCAGTGACTGCACTGGGGAATCCTCCACCCTTCTTCCCAGCCGCTCCCTCTTCAGGCATCTTATTTGGGGAATCACAGTCTAAGAAAAGGAAAAACATTTATTTTTAGCAAACCTGGGATCCCAAGGAGGGGCAGGGACTGAGTTCCCTCCTCCACCTGAGGGCCTTGGGCCTTAGACTGCTGCTCTGGCTCAGGCTTGGGAGGGAGGGGAGTCATGGGGTGGGGGTCAGGACAGTCACTTGTACTGAGGAGAGAGTGGGGGGACAAGCGGGGCATTGCAGACACTTAGCATTTTGTTGATGTCCACCTGGGTTGACTTGTCCATCTCAGCCTTGAGGCGACTGCTGACCCCCAAACTGGGCAGACCCCCAGGCTCCTCACTGGCTTCCTCCCCCAGGGGAACCAGAGTGTGGGTGGGGGGCACATACATACTGGGGCAGGGCAGAGTGAGGTCGGAGCCCAGTTCACCTGCCACTGGCAGCAAAGCCTGCAGTTGCTCCACACCCGCCTCCTCAGGGACCACAGTCAGCTCCGACTCAGGCTCCACCTCAGCCTCAGTCTCCCTGTCCCCCTCCCCTGCCTCGTTCAGCTCAGGGTTGCAATAGTTGATGTACTGGTACAGGGGCCGCAGGCGCTGGGCCTTTCCTACAAGAACCGGGGGCAAGGCAGCAGCTGGAGTGCCAAGCTGGGCCATGTCAGGGGTACAGCCGGCTGGGGACAATGGGGAAGGCTCAGGAAATGCCACTCACGCTCAGGCCCCGAGATCACTGAGGGTGCCGACACCGTGCTGGCCACCACTGGGAGCAGTGGGGTTCCCAGACTCTTGCGCTTCTTGGCTTTTTTGTGCTGTTTGGCAGATGGTGAGGGCTCACTCTGGTTATTCTCCAGCTCCTCCCTCTGCAGCGACAGCCCCTGTGGCAGCTCACTCTCCACCCTAGGATTGGCTTTGTGGCTTGGGCCTGCGAGGCTGGGGAACAAGGAGGCCTGAGGAGCCAGCCTGCAGCCTTGGCTCCTATGCCCTGTCCTAGGGAACAGTCCTGCCTGTATACCTCCCCAGGCCCTGATCCTTGTCCTTTTCCTGGTCACTGAGGCCCTGGACTGGACAGGGACCCAGAGATCATGGGAGCTTAGTCCCCTACCAGGCCTTGAGACTTCCGCTCTGGATGTTTCCTACATCAGGGCTCTGGAGGGACAGAAGAGGTGAGGAATGATAGTGGTGGCAGGGGATAATGATGGACACTGCTGTAAGGCCCCATTTAGGAATCCAACTGGGGTATGAGGCACCCCCACTCCACCTCCCCAGCGCCTAGCCTCTTCCCTCTGAAAGCCCCCTCACTTGACTGGCTTCCTCTTCGGACCATGACTGGGCCTCACATTGGAGGCCATAGGCCTGGGACCTCTCTCCTCCAGTGCCTCCACCTCTGGTTTGTGCCTGTTTTCCTCCAACTTGAGTCTCTCCTCCTGGATCTTTGGCTCTGAGGCGGGTCTTATTGGACATTTATCTTCACCCTGGGTTTGGCAGGCCTCGTGGGCCAGCACCAGGCACTGGTCTCCCATCACGGGACACTAGAGGTGACACATAGGTAACTGGTCACCATGGCCAGGCAAAGGATACAGGGACCAGCCATTAGACACTAAATAGGGATGGAAGGGCACCAACCCATGCCCCTCCCAGCCTGTGGAACCTGGCCTGGCAGTTAGAGGGTAGTTGCAGTTTGGTCTATTAAAGCGCTATGGCCAAGTGTTTGAAGGTTAGACAGCCGATGGTCACCTCAGAATTCTGAGCATGGCCACCAGGCACCTCTGTAAGCTGTGACTGCTCCACGGCTGTCCCTTCTTGGGCCCCTGGCCGCTTCTCAGCCCCTGCGGAGTCCATAGCTGCGGCGGATCAGCATCTCCTCGACGGTTGCTTGAGGGGCATCGGGGGTGGAGGGCGGATCCTGAGGGGCCAGACTAGTAGACCCTGAGCGGACCCCAGAGAGGACCGGGTTGGGAAGGGCAACTAACAGTCGTTCTGCCCCACACCCCCAGCTGGAACTACAAGCCCCAGAAGGCTTTGCGCCAGGGCCATTGGCCCCTGACCTCACGGACGGAAACCACTGTTGCCTGGCAACAGCAAACCCGTCGGGTGGCGGCAGTGGGCGGCAAAACCGCTCTGTTGAGCCCCTTGCCCGAGTGAGGTGACTGCCAACGGTGCAGAGAGGTGGGCTGAGAGCAGAGGTGGCGAGCGCAGGCCGGGGCTGGGAGGCGGGGTGGGAGCCAGGAACGCAGGCAGGGCACGGCTGCGGTTAGGGCCCGGGCCCAGGGAGGAGGCATTGGGCTGAGAAGCGGGGTTTGGCGCCAGAGACGCGTAGCCCGGCAGTCCTCAGGTGCACCGTTTGCAGGACGACGACGGCGGTATGTGTGAGGGTCCGTCCCGCATCTCGGGGCCCATCCCCCCAGACCCTACACTCTGTCCTGACTACTACCGGAGGCCGTCTTCGGGTGAGTTGCGGGGGTGAAAGCAGCCTGGCAAGGGTTGGGCCCAGCTCCACCACTGACTCCGCACTCCGCCCGTCTGGCCTCTCAGCCCAAGGGCGCCTTGAGGGAAACGCGCCGAAGCTGGACCTGCTGACGCCGGACACGGACCCGGACCTAGACGCCACTCCTCCCCGCGGCCCCCGCATCCGTCCGGGAGGCCTAGAAATCCTGGAGCGTGGCCGTCGCGGCGTGGGTGGCGTGCTGCTGCAGCTCGGGGGTATCTCCCTAGGCCCAGGGGCCTCTCCCAAGAGTAAGTTCTGGTCAGAACGGACAGCGAGGCGGCTCTGAAGTCAAAAGAGATCAAAAGACGGCTGCTTCCCCTTCTCTGCTCTGGGCTCAGGCTTTACCTCTCAGAGTGTCTGTTTCCCCAACTGTAGAAGGAGGGGGAAATGCACGACTTCTTCGCAGGAGAGGACTAAATGAGGTATACCCCGGAAAACCCCGTAGCTCAGCTTCATGGATTCATGCATCGTTGTTGTTGAGTGTCTGCTGTGCTCCGGGCCCTATAGGTGCTAGGAGAACAAGGTCGAAGAAGAGCATCGTTGAATCAAGGTGGGAGACAGTAAAACAAGTGAAGAGGTGAATAGGATATGCAAGGCGATTAATAGTATACTTCATAATCAAATATGTATAAAATCAGAAACACAAGATAATCATGGTGTGAGGAAGGGAACAAGGTTATGTGGTGGACTTTAGAGTATGTCAGGGAGGCAGGGTGTGGGCTTGTGTGTCCCCTGGGGTAAGTTGGATTGTATGGGCTGTGTATAGGGCAACATCTTTTCTCCAGGGAAGGACCCTAAAGACCATGAGAAGGAGAACATGAGGCGGATCAGGGAGATCCAGAGGCGCTTCCGTGAGCAGGAGCACAGCCGGGAGCAGGGCCAGTCCAGGCCACTGAAGGCCCTGTGGCGCTCACCCAAGTATGACAAAGTGGAGTCGCGTGTCAAGGCTCAGCTGCAGGTACCTGCCTCAGGGAGCCCCAAGTGTTGCCCATCTTGTTGGCCAACAGGACATTATACTCGGACCTGAGTTTTGAGGAGGGAGGAAAACCACAGGGGGCTGAGGTCACAGGGGACGAAGAGCTGGTTCTGCTGCAAAGTGGGGCTGGGGCCTTTCTCCAAAGTGATGATGGCTGGCGATTCTGAGGAGCAAGTCATAATTAGGCAAGGGGAGAATGGAGGAGAACATTTTATAGAGATGGAACCTCCTGGTTCCAGGGTCCCTGGCCCTAACACCAGGGCCTTAGGGAGTGTGGGCAGTGGAGATGCTGTGTTCAGTTTACTATGTGGGAAGAAGAGCGTGAGGTTAGGCTAAGAAGTCAGCTGGGCCCACATCATAAAGGGCCACATAAATCCATTTTTTTTACCTTTGTTTCTAAGGACAACGGGAAGGGCAGGGGTATGTATGGTGGTAAGATTCTGTCTGGGGTAGCTAGTGGTGCCACTTCTCTATTCCAGGGGTCTGAGAAGGAGAAAGACAGGACTGAGAAAAAAGACAAGGTCATATGTGGGTGTGTTGAAGCTGAAGCTTTTGTGGGGCTCCCAGGGAGTGGGAATGTGTCCAAGAGGCAGATGGAGAATCAGGTCTGGATCTCAGAAATTAGACCCAGGAGTTATTGAGGGCAAGGCTGAGGACAGCGAGACCAGGGAAGTGGCCCTGGATTTGGGGGCTTGGAGACCAGCTGTTGGTGGCCTTGGTGGGGACAGAGCCAGAAAGCTTGGCTAGGAGGAAAAGAAAAAGAAAACGATGGCTGAAGCCAGGACTGAGGTAGAGGGAGGGATATTTGTTTTCTGAGAGATGTGAAAAACACAACAGGTTTAAATGCGGATGTGGAAGAAGTACTTATTCAAGAGGAAGGAGGCCAGGTTCAGAGGACTTGTGATAAAGGTCCCGAAAGGCAAGAGGGACAGAGGCATGGTCTTATGGCTTGAGACCCTGACCTCAGCTTGACTGACACCCCCCCCCACCCCACCCCTGGCTCTGCCTTGGCCTCCAGGAGCCCGGCCCTGTCTCTGGAACTGAGCCAGCCCACTTCCTGCGGGCCCATTCCCGTTGCGGCCCTGGGCTTCCACCACCCCGTGTCCCCAGTCCCCAGCTAACCCCACCAGGTCCCAATGCTAAGGTGAGAGGATATGTAGGGGCTGGGAGGTGGGGCAGGGATTCGGGGGCACTGCACAGTGCTGTCTGTTTCATCATGCTGGCCATGTCCTGCAGGCCCCAGGCCTGGGTGTGGACTTCATTACCCACAATGCCCGCACTGCCAAGAGGGCCCCCCGGCGGCATTCTCGCTCGCTGCAAGTCCTGGCACAGGTGCTGGAGCAGCAACAGCAAGCCCAGGAGCACTACAATGCCACGCAGAAGGGTCATGTGCCCCATTAGTAGGTCCTACCACTCCCCCCAACTCCTGGGAAGGGGCACTTATGGAGGGTGGAAGCCTACATCTGCCTGGGATCATCAACCCTGGGTCTGTGCATCGCAGCTTGTTGGAGCGCAGGGACCTGTGGCGGCAGGAGGCTGAGGCCCGTCAGCACAGCCAACCGGACCCAGCCATGCCTCCTGGCCACACTCGCATGCCTGAGAACCAGCGGCTGGAGACACTGAGCAGTCTGCTCCAGAGTGAGTACGCAGGCAAGGGGAGCTGGTTGGGAAACCGCCAGGTACTGTGAACCCCTGCCCAGCACTTAACTGTTCCTGGGGCCCCTGTAGGCCAGAGCCAGCTGCTGCGTGAGCTGGTGCTGCTGCCTGCCGGGGCGGATTCACTGAGGGCCCAGAGCCACCGTGCTGAGCTGGACCGGAAGCTGGTGCAGGTAGAGGAGGCCATCAAGATCTTTTCCCGCCCCAAAGTCTTTGTGAAGATGGATTCCTGAGGCTTTTTATGGGGACAGTGACTGGGTCTTACTGAAGGATGCAGCATGGTTGCTAAGGGCAGGATTGGGCCCCATCATAGAGTGGAGTTTGAAGACAGGAGCAGTGGAGGGGGGGCAGTGTCCCCAGAGCCCTCTTCCCAGCCGCTGGTGGCTGCGGAAGGGCCATCCCAGACCCGTAACCCTTTATCAAAATTAAACCCTTTGTACACAGTGGGGTTTGTTTCCATAAGTGCTTTTCTTACCCTAAAAATGCCAAACCTGGCATTCCTCCCTCGGCGTGACTACAGGAAGGCTTCTCTGATGCCCTTATCACACTCACTTCTGCCACATGTCCAGGGCAGAAGGCAAGATTGTGGGATCAGGAAAGAGGCTAGGACTGGGAAACAGAATGACCATAACTGCATTTGTAGAAAATCTTTAATGTTCCCCAGACTGAGAGGGCCCATGAACACACTGAAACCTCCCACTGGGAAAGTCCTTGGAATGTCCCAGAGCCTGGAGTGGCAAGGGGCTGCATCCTTCCCTGTCAGAGGCTGAAGCCACTACCATCTCCTCGAATGCTACTCCCCCAACCAGAGCTGGCCTGCTCCCGATCATCCAGGGAGGGCAGAGAGCTGCGGGCAGCAGGAAGTAGGCGGCTCGCATGCAGGTCCCAGCACGGAGGCCCTTGAGACAGCCCATTGGAACAGGAAGGCTGGTGGTTCTCAATGACCAGATCACTGCTATCATCGTCGCTGTCAGGCTCAGCAGGCCCAGCAGAAGGAGGCCCTGCCAGGCGCCCAGATGCCCCACGAACCACATTATTGCGCTGATTGGCTGGCTTGACAGTGACAATGAGGTTGTGGCTGTTGGCGACCATCATGTCCGTCACTTGGTCCAAGGTCTTCCCGGCTACCTCAATGCCATTGACCTCAAGGATCTCATCACTGACTGCCAGCAGCCCTGTACTCTCAGCCAGGCCCCCTCGTACCAGGCGGGAGATGAAGATGCCTGGAACCCGTTCCAGGCCCTGGGGAGCTACTCGCACGCTCATGCCATCTCGGATGTAGAAACCCAGGGGGCGGTCGGAACCATGCTTATGCAGCCGCACCCGTCGGTGGGTCTCAGGCAGTAGGTCCACATCTATGACTGAAGAAACCTGGCGGAAATCTTGTGGCAGGCTGATCAGTAGCGGTGGCCGGGTGCGCAGGGGTGCCACTGGCCGAAGTAGGAGCCCTTTCTTGCGCCGTTGCAGAGAGTTGGAGGCAAAGGCCAGGCCACTGGAATCAGCTTCTGCTGCAGGAGAGGGGGGCACTGAGATAAGAAACCCTGCTCTCCCATTTGGGCCCTTTTCCATCAGGCCCAGGCCTCCTTGAGGAAGGGGGCATTGTAGCTATTTCTTGCCACTTGGAGGTCAGGCCAAGGGCAGGGAGTGCAGAGGGTGAATGAAGCCTGGATACCTTGGCTATAGACTAACCCTGGTAGACCTGCCCTGTCACCCTATCCCAGAGAGGCTGCCCACTGTACCCCATCCTCCTCACCCCGCTTCTGCACTAGCAGGCGCAGTGGTGGGGGCCCACTGCACAGGGCCCGGTGCAGGCTGTCATCGTTGGTGAGGGGCAGTAGGTCGCCGTGAGCATCAGTGTAGCCAAGCAGCACGTCTAGGCCCGGGATCTGGTGTACTGCACGCAGCAACCGAGAAAACTCCTGGAAGCCGCTCACTGAAGCGCGAGGCAGAGCAAAGCGTCGGAACTCAGCATCAAACTGGAGACGGGGTGGGAGGAGAGAAGAGGTTAGAATGGACTCCGTGCCCTTTCTCACCATAGGTCCGAAGGTGGCAGAGGTGGGAAAGACAGGGCTTCACAACAGCCGTGGCCTTGGCACACAGACCTCAGCTCCAGTACAAGGGACGCTGTCCAAGGTCTACTCCCCGCCCTCCACGTACCCAGGCCACAGAGGGACTCCAGAGGCCGGCAGTAGAGGGAGGATGGATGGGGGAAAGTGAGAAGAAAAGCCGGAAAATGGGACGGGGAGGATGGAGAAGAGGAAAAGGTGGTGGGGACCAAGGAGCCAGGAAGGGGAGAATGAGGGAATTGGAAGCTCCTAGGGCCGAGGCCGGAGCCAGGGCTGGAGGGGCCCTTACTTTGCTCTTCACCTCTACGATGCTGTCGGGACTGCGTGCCGGAGTCCTCTGTAGCCTGGCCATGGCGGGGCCGGGCGGGCCGGGGACGTTGCCCCAGACGGCCCGCCGAGGCGCAGGTGCACGGCCCCTCCAGTCGCCCGTGCCGCCCCGCCCTCCTGGCCGAACCGTGACGTCAAGGGGGCAGCGACGCAGAAAGGAAAGCGGAGTCCACGTTTCCTAGGAAACGGAGATGGGGTGGAGGAGTCTTTGCGTCTTCTTACGTCATTACGCTACGGTCCGAGCGTCTCCGGAGTCTAGGGGAGGGGCTTGGCTAATCCGAGGGGAGAGTGAGAGAAGTGGTGTTTATTGAATACTGTGTACTTTTATTTCCACTGGCCTAACAGGACTGCGCATTTTGTAGATGAGGAAAGTGGAGTCACAACAAATACTTGCTGAACTCCTTGAGGTCACAGGCGTTGAAGTGGCTTTGAGCCACTCGCTCGGACCATGCTTGACTGCAGCCTCAGGTCCCAGAGCTCTCCCTCTCCATCGGAGCCAGTTCTTGGCCCCTTCCTGCCCAGCGCCACAGGAGACTTGAAGAACGGCCCCAACGCCGCGCCGCTGGTTTGAGAGATGCTCGAGTAAGCGTAAACAGGACGAATCCAATTGAACCAAGTTCCGGACCAAGACGCGCTGGTGCGCACGCGCTGGCACGCTCCTGGGCGGGGCCTCGGCCGCTGGTCCCGCCCAGACGTCCGGCGTTTCCCCTCTCGCGGCGAGGCGGGGCAGCGTCGCACGGGAAAAACGCGGGCTAGAGGCTCTCTGCGGGCTACAGCGGTGGAATGGCACGTTTTGGGGGCCTGGTCCTGCGACCCTGGATTCGAGAGCTGGTCCTAGGGTCAGAGGCACTCTCAAGCCCTCGGGCGGGGCAGCTGCTCAAGGTGAGTTCCCCCCCACACGCACACACCCTTCTCAGAGCCCTGAGACCTGGGCGGGGCCCCAAGGCGGTGGGTTTGACGCCGGTCGCCGCCCTCAGGTACTGCTGGAGGCCAAGACCCAGAGCCCGTCCGGTGTCCCTGAGCCCCCCGACGCGGAGGCCGTGCTGCTTGTATCCGACGGGACCCACAGTATCCGATGCCTAGTGACGGGTGAGGCCCTGAACGCCTCAGACTGGTGAGAGAGGCTCCGCGGAGCTTGGGAACTTTGGAGTCGGGTGAGAGAGAATGAGCCTTGAGCCCTGAGCCCGAGGTGGGCGGGTCCCAGGCGGGCAGGGGTGCGTTCTGGCGAGCGCTGCAGTGAGGACTGTGCTCGCCGCAGGGAGGAGAAGGAGTTCGGCTTCAGAGGGACAGAAGGCCGGATGCTGCTGCTGCGGGACTGCAAGGTCCGCGTCCAGGTCGCCGAGGGAGACACGGTGAGTGGTGAAGCTGGCTTGGGTGGATTACTGGGCCTGATTTCCTGAAAACTCCTGAGACCCGGTCCCTGAACTCACCCCTCCAGCCCGCGGAGTTCTACCTCCAGGTGGACAGCTTCGCTCTGCTGCCCACGGAACAACCCCGGGAACAGGTGACTGGTTGGTAAGTGATGCCTCCGCTGTCCAACTGTACTCTTCACCCGGGCCGGGCTGGCGTTGCCATAGGCCTTGTGGGTTTGAGGGCTTGGGGCTTTAGTAACATTGAGCTCCTGTTGTTGTTGTTCAGTTGCTAAGTCGTGTCCAAGTCTGTGACCGCATGGACAGCAGCATAACAGGTTCCTCTGCCCTCCACTATCTCTCGAAGTTTGCTCAAATTCATGTTCATTGAGTTGGTTATGCTATCTAATCATCTCATTCTCTGCTACCCCCTTCTCCTGCCTTCAGTGTTACCCAGCATCAGGGTCTTTTCCATTGAGTCAGCTCTTCGCATCAGGTGGCCTTAGTATTGGAGCTTCAGCTTCAGCAACAGTCCTTCCAATAGATATTTATTTCCTTTAGGATTGATTGGTTTGATTTCTTTGCATTCCAAGAGAGTCTTCTCCAGCACCTCAATTCCAAAGCATCAGTTCTTCAGCACTCAGCCTTCTTTATGGTCCAGCTCTCACGTCCATACAAGACTACTGGAAAAACCATAGCTTTGACTATATGGACCTTTGTCAGCAAGTAATGTTTTTGCTTTTTAATACACTGTTTACATTTATCATAGCTTTCCTTCCAAGGAACAAATGCCTTTTAATTTCATGGCTGCAGTCACTGTCTGCAGTGATTTTGGAGCTGAAGAAGATAAACACTGTCACTGCTTCCACTTTTCCCCTTCTATTTGCCAGGAAGTGATGGAACTGAATGCTAATGATCTTAGATTTTTGAATGTTGAGTTTCAAGCCAGCTTTTTCACCTTCCTCTTTCACTCTCATCACAAGCTCTTTAGTTCCTCTTCACTTTCTGCAATTAGAGTGGTATCTATATATCTGAGGTTATTGATTTTTCTCCCAACAAACTTGATTCCAGCTGTGATTCATCCAGCCTAGCATTTCACATGATGTACTCTGCATATCAATTGTTGTACTCTTTTCCCAATTTCGAACCAACCAGTTGTTCATGTCCAGTTCTGACTGTTGCTTCTTGACTTATATACAGATTTCTTAGGAGATAGGTAAGGTGGTCTAGTAGTCCCATCTTTTTAAGAATTTTCCAGTTTGTTGTGATCCACACAAAGGCTTTAGCATAGTCAATGAACAGAAATACATGTTTTTCTGGAACTCGCCTGCTTTCTCCATAATCCAGTGTTGGCAGTTTGATCTCCAGTTCCTCTGCCTCTTTGAAACTCAACTTGTACATCTGGAAGTTTTTGGTTCACCTACTGCTGAAGCCTAACTTGAAGGATTTTTGAGCATTACCTTGCTAGCATGTGAAATGAGTGCAACTGTCCAGTAATTTGAACATTTTTTGACATTGTCCTTCTTTGGGGTTGAAGTGAAAACTGATCTTTTCCAGTTCTATGGTCACTGCTGAGTTTTCTAAATTTGCTGACATATTGAATGCAGCACTTTAACAGCATCATCATTTAGGATTTTAAATAGTTCAGCTAGAATTCATCATCTCCACTAGTTTTGTTTGTAGTAATGCTTCCTAAGGCCCACTTGACTTCACACTGCAGGATGTTCACTTCTAGATGAGTGACCACACCATCATGGTTATTGGAGAATTATGACCTTTCTTGTATAGTTTTTCTGTGTGTTCTTGGCCATCTCCTCTTAATCTCTTCTGTTTCTGTTAGGTTCTTACTGTTCTTGTCCTTTATCTTGCCCATCCTTAGATGAAATGTTTCCTTGAAATCTCCAGTTTTCTTAAAGAGATCTCTAGTCTTTCCCATTCTGTTCTTTTCCTCTGTTTCTTTGCATTGTTCACTTAAGAAGGCTTTTTTTTTTTAACCTCTCCTTACTGTTCTCTGGAACTCTGCATTCATTTGCGTGTAGCTTTCCCTTTCTCTCTTGCCTTTTGCTTCTCTGCTTTCTTCAGCTATCTGTAAGGCCTTCTCAGACAACCACTTTGCCTTCTTGCATTTTTTTTCTTTGGGATAGTTTTGGTCACTACCTCCTATACAGTGTTACTAACCTTTGTCCATAGTTCTTCAGGCACTCTATTAAGTCTAATCCCTTGAGTTTTTTACCTCTCCTGTATAAGCATAAGGGATTTGATTTAGGTCATACCTGAATGGCCTAGTGGTTTTCCCTACTTTCTTTAATTTAAGCCTGAATTTTGTAATACAGAGCTCATGATTTGAGCCACAGTCAGCTCCAGGTCTTATTTTTGCTAACTGTATGGAGCTTCTCCATCTTTGGCTACAAAGAACACAATCTGATTTCAGTATTGACCATCTGGTAATGTCTATGTGTAGAGTTGTCTCTTGGGTTGTTGGAAAAGGATGTTTGCTATGACCAGTGTGTTCTCTTGACAAAACTCTGTTAGTCTTTGCTCTGCTTCATTTTGTACCCTAAGGCCAAACTTGCCTGTTATTCTGGTTATTTCTTGATTTCCTGCTTTTGCATTACAGTCGCCTGTGATAAAAAGGTCATCTTTTTTTGGTGTTACTTCCAGAAGGTCTTGTAGGACTTCATAGAACCAGTCAGCTTCAGCTTCTTCGGCATCAGTGACTGTGATGTTGAATGGTTTGCTTTGGAAATGAACCAATATCATTCTGTCATTTTTGAGATTACATTCAAGTACTGCATTTCAGACTCTCTTGTTGACCATGAGGGCTACTGCATTTCTTATACGGGATTCTTGCCCACAGTAGTAGATATGATGGTCTGAATTAAATTTGCCCATTCCCATCCATTTTAGTTCACTGACTCCTACCTAAGATTTGATGTCACTCTTGCCATCTCCTACTTGGCCACATCCATTTCACCTTGATTCATGGACATAACGTTCCAGGTTCCTGTGTAGTATTCTTGACAGCATTGGACTTTACTTTCATCACCAGGTACAGCTGAACATCGTTTTCACTTTGACCCAGTCACTTTCTTCTTTTTGAAGCTTTTAGTAATTGCTCTCTGGTCTTCCCCAGTAGCATATTGGACACCTTCCAACCTTGTGGGGGAAGAGGGGCTCATCTTCCAGTGTCATACCTTTTTGCCTTTTCATACTGTCCATGGGGTTCTCCAGGCAAGAATACTGGAGTGGGTTGCCATTTTCTCCTCCTGTGGACCAAATTTTGTCAGAAGTCTTCACTGTGACCCGTCTGTCTTGGGTGGCCCTTCACAGCATGGCTCATAGCTTCACAGAGTTAGACCCTTTCACCATGACCAGGCTGTGATTCATAAAGGAGAACAGTGACTGCCTACCACTCCTCTTTTCCAGCAACGAGGACCCAGATGTGCGGAAAAAGCTCTATGTCTGCTTGGAGTGAGTGTGGGGTTGGCTTCTTGGGTCAGGTGTGGTTTGGTCAGGGGGTGACAGATCTGTGTAGGTAGGCTTCAGGATTGTTCCTCAGACTTGTCCCCTCTGTTTCTCTAGGGAGCACCTTTCAGAGTCCACCTCCTCCAATGCAGGTAACTGGCAACCCCACTGCTTCCTTAGTAAGGCCTCCCCTCCTCCTTTGAGCTTCAGC